TATTAGTTGATCGACGATGGAGAGTATTTTGATTTTCGTCCTTTTGAAAATACAGTATTATTCTAACTGCGCGTATAAATCAATAAAGACCGAAAGCCATTAATAAAAAAAGACATGAATGGAGCTTGACGGCCACAAGAACAAAGCATGTAAGTCATTGAAATGATTTATCAATTCTTGTTGTATTGTGAATTTGTGTTCTGAACTGACTATCAAGATTATTCTTTAAAACACGAGTATTATAACAATCCCCAGCAAGTAAAATTAAGCAAATATAGCTTGTTGAAAACCGTACTGCTATAAATTTCCCTGAGTGACAAAGGTTTTTTTAGAGATTTTAATACCAGTTTATTCTATTAGTAAATTGTGGGGAAAAGCAACTCTTTGGAATATAAAGCACTTATATCACCATGCATTAAAGTTTTTTACACCTGTATGTATTCCGCTTTCAGGTATGAATTTATCAAGAAAATATGGGATATCTGTACTAAGTACCAGGTGGCAATGAAGAAAGTCAAGTGTATTTCTTTATAATGGTCTTCCTTGTAAAAGGCAATGGCACTATTTCATTGAACATTCAAGGAACAATCGCCTTTTAAAACAAATATGCACATTTTTATGCTCGAGTTACAATGTTTGATTTTGATATCTGCATTTTATGCGATTCATACCTTATTTTTAAGTGTTCCTCAAATATTGATTCAATACATTACCTCGGGCTGACCAATTCATTCCATCAAGATATTTGCTGTGTTGGTGTAATACATGTACTCGGGTGAATAAGATGCTTGTGTGATGTTACGTACTCTGAGTGGATGTCCACACTGGGCAGGCTTGAAAAATATGCCTGGCCACAGTCGGATTTGAACCTACAACCTTTGGAATACTGGCCCAATGCTCTGTGAACTGAGCTATACAGTCGGGGCAGTTCGAGTATGCAATATTTCGGAACTGAGTCTAGTTCCTTCGATATCAGTGTAATCTAATAACCATGATATTTGTGAATATGATGCTTGTGTGATGTTACTCTGAGTGCATATCCACACCGGGCAAGCTTGAAAAATATGCCAAGCCACATTGGGATTCAAACCGACCTGACCGCGTAGCTCAGTTGACAGAGCATTGGCATTTGGGCTAGTATTCCAAAGGTCGTAGGTTCAAATCCCACTGTGGCCAGGCATATTTTTCAAGCCTGCCCGGTGTGGATATACACTCAGAGTAACATCACACAAGCATCTCATTTCATCACGTTCCTCCAGATATTCATACACTTCCTGTGAAAGAGCCAATTCCAAGTATTTAATCATTTCTGGTCACTTCCTTTCTATTTATGATTGGTTAGTTGCACAAACAGCAAAGGTGATTGGCGCATTCAAACCATTTAACAGGAAGTTTACAATTATACTAGGAAGTGTATGAATATCTGAGGAACACTTCAATTGGAACGACAGTGAAGAATTATTAAAAAAATATTTTATTCAAAAAAAGATTTTCCAAGATAATTATATAATTACATTTAGTAATAAGAATAAATAATATATTCAATTTCAAATCACAACAAAATTTATTCTTTATTTTTAAACACATACAACACCAATTTAATTAAATAAACTGCTCAACCAATTCTATGCATGTCAATCCCTACTTGATGGTCAGCACCTACAGTAATTATGCTAGCCTAATTTGTACACTAACACAAATGGTCAAAATAAATGTAAATGTAGCATTCTTGGCTTAGCTAAACAGACCAAAATGTGTACAAATAACTTAAAGTTGTTAGCAGAAAAATTAAGGAATAAATTTAACCCATTGAGTGGTGAAGCACCCTATTTTAGTATTTTACTCTGTCTAACGCCAGACAATTTTACTCGTCAAGGCGAGAGCGCTGGCGCTTAATGGGTTAATTACCCCTCATGTACAGTATGGCCATTAATTGTACTGATAATAAACTGTAAAGATCACTGATCTTTACAGTTTATTATCAGTACAATTAATGGTCATACTGTATTCACTGACAACCAAGCTGACCAAAGCAATCATTAAAGATTGTTGGTACAGCATATGGCTTTATTAATTAACACTGGTCTCTGGCTGTAATCCTCCTCAAAGATATCAGCACTAAAATGCTTTGAACACAAACGACTATTTTTCATAGGAACAAACTTTACTGGCATAAGTTTGCTTATATTCTTCACCCATATGCTGTGCAATTCAGGGAATCTCTTCTCATCTGGAAAGCTTTGAAGTAAATGAACAATTGTTTTTAGTGTCTAGTTAATACACTGTTCAATACGATACCTATAACTTACAATATAAACAATGCCACACTAGACTGTTAACACATGGTTTAGTCCACAATAAAGACAATACAATGAGTGAAAGGCTTTGTACATTTAAAGCTAGTCGTATCTTTATCACATTGTTAAAATTCTCATTTGAATTTTTTTAACATAGCATTATCTGTTAGGATATCGATAGGATTTCATCACTGCATCACATCCATCAACTTGCATGAAAATAAATACTTGCTCGACAACAGCTCCACAAGCTTGTCAACATTTTAAAATTTTGTTCTGCTTTTGCACTGTAGTACACTATTAAACATTGTATTGTATGTTGCTTGCCAATAAATTTCATGAATTCACAAATTTACGCATTCAATACAGCAATACAGCATTGCGTTAAATTATTAAAAAAAAAAGAGATTATACGAGCCTTAAGGCCGGATTCCACGAGGCGGAATTTTTCGACCGAAACGAAATTTCTCTTTGTCTTTTTACAATTAGTTCTGCTCGAGAGCTCTGAAACAAAGAGAAATTTGGATTCGGTCGAAAAATTTCGCCTAGTGGAAAACCGCCTTTACGCATGTGAGGACAGGTCCTTTCTTTCAGTAGATTTTTGGCAACCAGGAATTGAACAAAAAGTTGGCATGGTTGCAAATGTCTCGTTTCAATATAGAAATTTCCGACCGAAATTTTGAATTTACTATTTTACTTCCTTCTGTTTGAAGCAAATTGAAAGGGGGATGTGAATAACTTTTTTCTTCACGTTAGTATTTTAGGTCAGTGGTGTTCACCATAAATTTAGGTCGATTGTGACGTCAAAATGACGTAAATTTGGCCAAAATCCGCCATGTTTTTGGCCACACATTTTTGACTGACGAGGTATTGGAGCACGATCTCCAGATATATTAAGTATAGCTCAGTGAT